TGGTAGCATAGTGCCTAAGGCACTTGACTGCTAACCAGAAGGCTGGAGGTTCAAACCCAACAGCCACTCCTCAGAAGGAAGATGGGGCAATCTACTTCTGTAGTGATACTGCCTCAGAAACCCAAGGACGGGTCGCTATGAGTCGGGTCTGACTTGACAGCAAACAACAACAACAACAACAACAACAAACAAAAACAAACGACAACAGCATATTGAAAGAGTGCATAAAAAACTTAAGGGATGGTGAAAAAATCAGGTAAGTACATATCATATGTGTTTTGAAACTCTCTATTCAGTTTCATTATTTATTTTCTCTATCTTGTGCAAGAAACAAAAGTGAATTACTGTAGCTTTATAATATATCTTAACATCCAATAGTGTATGTCTATTTATATGTATTTTTTAGTTTAATCTATATTTTCTTTTAGCTATTTTTTAATTTTTGGTTAATTGTTATTAAATTAAAATTTAAAAATAGAAATGAAATATGCACATAAAAAAGAATATACTTTCTCCATTTAATTTCCTTGGCATCTTTGTCAAAAGCAGTTGAGTGTATTTGTTGGTTCTACTTCTGGAATCTCTGTTTAGTTTGATTGATGCATATGTCTATTCCTTCACCAATACTACCCTATCTTCATCACTGTAACTTTATATTAAGTCAAGAACTTAGGTAAGAAGCATCTTTCAATTTTATTCTTTTTCAGAATTGTTTTGACTTGCAATATCATTTTACAATCAGTTTGTCAATATATCATAAACTCTGCTTGGAAGACATTATGCTAAATGAAAGTATTCAATCATAAAAGGACAAATATTATATGAAACTATTATTTTTTGAAAGTCAAGAAAATGTTTACAAATGAATAATTTTTTGATGGTTACCAGGGTGGATCTTGGCTGAAAGCAAAGAATACTAGAAAGATGTTTAACAAAACTAAACTAAACTCACTGCCACGGAGTTGGACCAACTCACAGCGACTCCTCCTTGGGTTTCCAAGGCAGTATCACTACAGAAGTAGATGGCCCAACCTTCCCTCCGAGGAGTGGCTGGTGGGTTTGAACTGCCAGCCTTCTGGTTAGCAGTCAAATGCCTTAGGCACTACTCCACCAGAGAGACAAGTAATGCACAAACATGTGCACATTCAACACATCCAGCTAGGTTCCCGTGGGCAGTGTAATTGCTTCTTCCCTGGTGAGTGGAATGAGTGGCTGAAGATGCCCTCATAGGGGATGTCCCCTGAGATCTGTGTCTTTTAATAATTCCCTTTTGATCCCTATGCATTATTCTCTGAAATATCAACATGACTTCCCATGACATCGCTTTAGAGGGACCAGACCTTGGACAGAGCCCTTTGTTATCATTTATTCAAACGAATGGTGATGGTTGTTAGCACACAGACCAACCCTCCCCTAAACTCATTATCTGCAGGAGTCCTCAACCACAGCCAGAGAAAACAACCAAAAAGAAACATTATCTTGAGTAGTTTGAAATGATAATTCCTTCATGAGTTGTTTTATAGTCCATGCCTCATTTGCTCTTCACAGCCACAATACTGAGAATTATGTGGTAGATATGCATTTATTATGTTTATCTTACACATAAAGAGTTGGTACGTGACTTCTCCAAGAGCAGAGGAAATACACAGCACCTGCAGGACTTCAATCTAGATTACCGGTTGTGGGTTCATGTTCTTTTCTCCATATTTCCTTGCGTTAGAAACATTTGATTCCTTTGACCAGTACCTAAGATAGAACTTCTTTGCATTATTCCATGGCAGAATTTCTGATATCAAACTCACAATTTGGAATTGCCTTTCTCCTTTTATCAGTGATTAAGGTAATCCTTCTGTTTCATGTACAATTTAGTGAGTAGTGTAATTCATACATAAGCACTGAGGAAACTATGTCTACTCTGAGATATTTGATCCCAGACTCAGACGTTCTAAACATTTTTCTTAAACTGTGGTGTAAGGCTTGGATATATGTTGAAATCTCCATCAATGATATCAATGAAACATCCTGCTCCTTTCCTAAAGAAGTTGAGGAGGCAGAGAGAGGAGGATACATGATACTTTCATTGACTAGATGATAATTTCATCTTGTTTGCTACCCATTGGCCTCTAATAGAAGGTAAAATTTTAAAATTTTAAAAGAAAGAGTCAAATGATACTTTCTTAGCTATAAAAGTCTCTTAATTGAATGATCAAGATCCATACTTTGTATGAACCCTGTCCCCCAAAATCTCACTCATATTATTATTAGTGCACCTACAATTGCTGGCAGTGCTAAATTCCCAGGAGTTTTATTTATCAGACATGGGTTTAAACTTTAACTATCCAGTCTCCCTCATGCTAACTATGTAATTATAGAGCACCACATAACTTTTTGAATCTTAATGATAAAATGTAAATAACAGTATCACCTACCTTTAAAGGCTATTGTGAGAATTAATTGAAGATATTGTGTCTGTATATAGATGTATTATCACTGGCTGTAGAACATAGTGCATGCTAAAAGTGCTCATGTCTATCAAAGTATGGCAAATATAAGACCTTTATAGTCTAGTTTTATACAAGGAAGTAGTGAAAGGTCTCAGAAGGAAATGGTAAAGAGTAGTGCCTAGTAGAGGATCAATGTCCTGCCAAAGACTTCAAATTCAAATGAAAAATGTAACGTTCTATGCTTACACTAGAACAGATAAAAATAAAACATGAAACTCCTTACCTGATCTTCAAACAAAATGCATTCACAGGCTATGAATTTACAATCCTTGATCTCCAACTACGGGATGACAATAAGGAGAAAAAGAATGAGTTTTCTTTAAACTCTCATTAAACGATCAAGATCTATACTCTGTGTGAACCCTTTCCCCATAATCTCACTTGTATTATTATTAGTGCACCTACAATTACTGGCAGTGCTAAATTCCCAGGATTTTTATTTATCAGACATTGGTTTAAAGGTTAACTATTCAGTCTCCCTTATGCTAACTATGTAATTATAGAGTACCACATAACATTTAATGAGACTCTTCGACCCAGGGTGAAATATGGAATTCAAGGAGAAATTAAGTTAAAGAATGGCTCACGAGGAATGGTTGGCACAGCCACTCATAGGGGATGGAGGGTGCTGAGAAACAGTACGGGACACAGAGGATCTCAGTGAACCAGGACTGTGAGGAAAGCACGTAGATGAGTGAGGCTACCACATGTTCAAAACTCACACAACACTTTAAGTCCCTGCATGTCACCACCCACATTTCTCACAACCAACACAGAGGCCATCATTCGAATCTATTTGACCTGTCACACAATCCCCAACACTAACTTACTTTGCTGTGCTTAACATCCAATATTACTCATTTTTTTATGCATTGTCTCACTTCATTCCCACAATAATACCTTGAAGTAGTTCTTATTACAATTTTTATTTTGCAGAGGGAGAAAATGAGGAACAGGGAGTTAGATTTGGACCAATGACTCCTAGACAATAAATAATAGGGTTGATATTTGAACCCATATGCACCCAGAACCCAAACGGTATATCAAATGCATACGTTTCCCTTCAAATTTTTTTTTACTACTGGTATATGCCTTAAGGCTTCAGTTATACCACCATGTCTACTATACATATATTGCTCAATAACTTCACTCTATATCTGCAAGCTGAGTTTGGGCCAATGGAGACAATGAGTAATTTAAAAATGAGTTAAATTCAATTTTATGTCAATTCTGTTATGATCATTGGACTTGGGATCATCTTATCTGGATTCTAAGCTTGGCTTTGCCAGTTAATATTTTTGTAAACGTGAATAAATTACTCAACCCCTTGTGCCTCATCAGTTGAGTAGAAGAATGTACTAATGAATCTCAAGTTGTTGTATGGAACTACTCAATATGCATATAAAGTGCCTACAGCACATGAGAAATAAAAAAGTATAAATTTTCAATTGAGGAAAACTGAATTGGCAATCCATGTCATTTATGACATGTCATGTTGGCTATTTTATTATTTTTCTACAGTTCAGTTTAAAAATTTGTAAAATTTAAGTCTGAGAGATGATCTAAGAAGATTGCTCAGCTTCAATAATAAGTAGCTGTACAGGCAATGTATGCACTAAGTTTCATGGTCAAGCCCAGCTTTCTGTATAGATAATCTCAAAACACAACTTATTGCTATAATAAAATAATTTCCATGGCATCTATACGCTTCAATTTAATTTCCTTCTATTTTCTCTTTAACATTCTTTTCTTTTATTCCTCATTGACACAGGACATCTCTTGATTCCCAAATGACATCAATGGAGAACAGAACCCAAGTGACTCAGTTCATCCTGCTTGGACTAAACAATGCCCCAGAGCTGAAGATCCCTCTCTTTATCTTATTCACCCTCATTTACCTCATCAATGTGCTTGGGAACCTGGGGGTAATCCTGGTGATATTAGTGGACTCTCGTCTCCACACACCCATGTACTTTTTCCTCAGTAACTTGTCTCTGACGGACCTTGGTTATTCCTCAGCTGTTACTCCCACATTGTTAGCTGGGCTCCTTATAGGAGACAATATCATCTCCTACAATGCATGTGCTGCTCAGATGTTCTTTTCTGTAGTATTTGCTACTGTGGAAAATTTCCTGTTGGCTTTAATGGCCTATGACCGCTACGTGGCAGTGTGTAAACCCCTACATTACACCACCACCATGACAACAACTGTGTGTGCTTGTCTGGCCATAGGTTCCTATTTCTGGGGTTTCCTAAATTCTTCCATCCACATTGGGAACACATTCAGGCTCTCTTTCTGTATGTCCAATGCGGTCCATCACTTTTTCTGTGATATCCCAGCTGTCATGGTTCTCTCTTGCTCTGATAGACATATTAGTGAGATGGTTCTTATTGTTATGGCAACCTTCAATGTCTTCTTTGCTCTTCTGGTTATCTTGATTTCCTGCTTGTTCATATTTATCACCATCTTCAAATTACATTCAGCTGAGGGATACCAGAAGGCTGTAGCCACCTGTGCTTCCCACCTCACTGCAGTCTGCATCTTCTATGGGACCATCATCTTCATGTACCTGCAGCCCAGCTCCAGTCATTCCATGGACACAGACAAAATGGCATCTGTGTTCTACACTGTGGTCATCCCCATGCTGAACCCTCTGGTCTACAGCCTGAGGAACAAGGAGGTCAAGAATGCATTCAAAAAGGTTGTTGAGATGATAAAATTGTCTCTTGGCTTAACGTTATAGTATTGCAGGATCTACAGCAATCAAGTTTCATTTTCGTCACATCTCTGTGATTCCCTGGCTTATGTTTCAAATCCCACGCTGCACCCAATTTCTAATATGATATTCTTATCTCTTCAAAAGTCTGTTGTCTGGAAAAAAAAAAAAAAAAGAAAACATTATGTTCTGAGATGCAATACACAAATGAAAATGGCTCAGGGGAACTTAAGGATATTTGAGTTTTGCTTTTCAAAAAATTTTAATGCCATTTGACTTGTTCACCTGTTCTCTACCCTATACATATATGTCAAACCAGGTACACACAAGCACATGAGTAGAAGCATGTGCATGGATCTTGTGTGTGCACTTACACACAAGAATGGGAATTTGTTAAATGAGGTTAGTGGAATGGCTAGTTTTTAATAAAAACAATTAAAATAGTCAATTGGAATATCAGAATACAAGCTTATATCTAATCATTTTTCTGCCTCTAGTCAAAAAAATATTCTGAATCCAAAATGAAGAAACAAATATCTTTTTAAATGAAGATGTTTGTTTCTATTGACATATTTTACCAACAATTTTAAGTATAACATCTTAAAGGAACTGATATTTCAGTCTTCACTAGATCAGGTGATAGAAACAATATGGTCACACGATAATTTTCCAAAGGAAGACAGTCACAGTACAAATAAAGAGTATAAAAAATAAGGACTGTTTTCAGTTTATATGATCACCAACTCTTCACTTTTCATAAAAAATTGGAGATTTAAATGCCAGTGAGACTGATGGTAATTAATTATAATGTTAACCAGTTTTCTTATTGGAAATGATGTGAAATACTTAATGCCACTAATTCATGAATACTTTAGTTCTGGTTGAGCTACAACATCTCTTATCATCCTCCTGTTTATTCATCTCACCACATTAATAATGATTTCCTTGAAATTCCTAACCAATTCCTAAGCATGCTCTTGTCTCAAGGCATTTTTACTCAAAGTTCCTTCTGCTTGAACTGCTCCCTCTCTTCACTTCAGGTCTGTGAGTAAAAGTAACCATATCATGTTGTTGTTGTTATGTGCCGTCGAGTCGGCCCCGACTCATAGCGACCCCTCCTTGGGTTTAGTATCACTGCGGAAGTAGGATTGCCCAACCTTCTTTCCGAGAACCGTATCATAGTCACTTCATTTCTTGCTGGACATTATCCCCTTCCCACTTGATTCTTCATAGTCCTGATCATTACTCAACTATTGTTATTACTCATGAGTTCACCTGTTCATCTATCTCCTCTAACTCAAAGGTACACTCCACTAGGGCAATGGTTTGTCAGCTTCACTAACAACTTTATCCCCAGTACACTGATTATGGCCTGGTACATTCTAACGTCAATTCTTACACTTCTTTTGGTAAATTTATTCCTAAGCATTTTATTCATTTAGATGCTATTTTAAGTGGTATTGTTTATTTCATTTTTAGATTATTCATTGTTAGTGTATAAAATCAATTATTTTTGTATATTGATCTCATGTATTGAAATCTTTATGAATGGTATATGTGTACTAATGTATTTTTAGTGGATTACTTGTGGTTTTCTGTATACTAGCCATGCGTCTCTAAATTGAGATTATCTATTTCCACTTTTCCTGTGTGAATGTCTGTTATCCTTTTTCTTAACTAATCTCCCTAGCTTTCTTAACTAATCTCCTCCAGCAACATGTCAATTAGAGTTGATGATAATGAACATCCTTATTTGATTCATGATCTTAGTAAAAAGGTACTCAGTCTTTCACCATGTAGTGTGAAGTTAGATGTAGGTTTTTCAAGGTGCCTTTAATAACATTGAGAATATTCCCTTCTTATTTTCCTGAGTGTTTTTAATCATGAATGGTATTCAATTTTGTCGAATGTCTGCTGAATCTATCGAGATAATCATGAGGCTTCTGACCTTCGTACTAATAATATGGAATTTTACTTGAATTTTCAGATGATAGAGCAATCTAACTTTACTGGAGTAAACCTCATTTAGTTATGTTATATATCCTTTTCACATGTTACTAATTCTGTTTCATCATATTTTTAAAGACTTTTGCTTACATATTCATGTGAGATATTATTTGTACTTTTCTTTTCTTGTGATGTCTTATTCTGGCTTTGGTATCAGAGTAATAAAGGCCTCAGAAAAAGTTGAAGAATGTTCATTTCTCTTCTATTTGGAAAGAATTTGTCAAGGATGGCTATTAATTCTTCCTTAAATGTTTGGCAGAATTTATCATGGAAGCAAACTGGACCTGGGCCTTTCTTTATGGCAAATTTATAAACTGCTAATTCAATCTTTTTATTGTTATAGATCAATTTAGATTTTCTATTTATTTTTTTAAGTGTTTTCTTGTTGCAGAATATATATAACAAAACATCTGCAATTTTAACACGTTTACAAGTACAACTTAGTGATATTAATTATAATCATGTGAAACCATCTCAACTATCTATTTTTCATTTTTCCATCCCATCCTTAACAGAAGCTCAGTATCCCCTAAGAAATGACTCTCTTTCCCCATTCTTCTCATTCAACACTGTATATTATTATTCAGATGTGAATCAATGAATAGGTTCACTGAAATCTTCATTAAAATTCCAAAAGCCCTCTTAGTATAAATGGAAATGCCAATCCTCAGATTTATATAGAAATGCAAGAGACCCTCAATAGCCAAGAACCAAAACAAACAAACAAACACACTGCTGTTGAGTCAGATCCAAGTTATAGTGACCCCTCCTTTGGTTTCTAAGGCAATATCACTACGGAAGTAGATTACCCAACCTTTCTTCCAAGGAGTGGCTGGTGGGTTCAATAGCCAAAGCAATGTTTAAAAAAGAAAAAACAAAGCAAGAGTCACACTTCCCAATCTTGAAACATAATATAAAGCTACAGAATTCAAAACAGTCTGGTAGTGGTATAATGACAGACATATTGACCAGTGTAGTAGAATTTGGAGTACAGAAATAAACCTATGCACTGACTTTTTAAATAAGATTACTAAGTCCTGTCAGTGGAGAAAGAATAGTCTCTTTAATAAGTGCTGCTGGGACATCTGGGTTTCCACATGTGTAAAAATGAAGTTGGACCCATAACTCACACCATATATGAAAATCAACTCAACACATCAAGGACCTAAAGTGTAACAACTAAAACCACAAAACTTGTAGAAGAAAACAGTGGTACTATTTCAGGACTTTACAGCCCAGTTTTCAGCAATAGAGTCTTTGATATGACACCAAAAACAAAAGCAACAAAAGGCAAAATAGATAAATAGGACTGCATTAAAATTCAAAACTTCATTCATTAAAGAACTTTATCAACAATTGAAGAGACAACCTAGAGATTTGGGAACTATGTAACTATTGTGATTGTTGTTGCTGTTTAATTATTTTCAACAAAATTTTACTTACGTGTGATATTGATACTACTCAATAATTTCCACCTTCCATTGAATTGCTTTTCTTTGGAATGGGCATAAATATGGATCTCTTCCAGTTGGTTGGCCAGGTAGATATCTTCCAAATTTCTTGGCAGAGATGAGAGAGTGCTACCAATGTTGCTCTCATTTGCTGAAACATCTCAATTAGTATTCCATCAATTTCTGGAGCCTTGTATTTCATCAATGGCTTTAGTGAAGCTTGGACTTATTTCTTTAATACTATCTGCTCTTGATCATATGCTATCTCTTGAAATAATTGAACTCCGACCTATTCTCTTTGGAACAATGACTATATATTCTTTCCATCTTCATTTGATGCTTCCGGTGTGATCCATAGGATCCTTCAATATGGCAACCTGAATTGAATTTTTCCTTCTGTTCTTTCAGTTTCAGAAATGCTGGATATGTTCTTCTCTTTTGGTTTTTTAGCTCCAGGTGTTTGCACATTTTAAGATAGTACTTTACTTTGTCTTTGCAAGCCACTCTTTGAAACCTTCTGTACAGATTTTTATTTTATCATTTCTTTCATCCACTTTCTGTATGCTCACTGTCTGATACAGTGTCAGGAGATGAGCCCCTCAGGTTGGAAAGCATGCAAAAGAAATCTGAGGATGAATTTCTTCCTCAAATTAAGTTGACTATAATGACATGGATGAAGAAAAGCTTTCAGGACCTTCATTTGCTGATGTGGCACAACTAAAAAAGAGAAGAAACAGCTCCAATCAGCCATTAATAATTAATGGATATGAAATGCACTAATTATGAATCTAGGAAAATTAGAAGTCAATAAAATGGAATATCTGAAGATAGATATCCTAGACATTAGGATATCTATTAGCTGAAATGGATTGGTAATGACCATTTTGAATCAGATATATAGTCTACTATACTGGGAATGACAATCTGAAGAGGAATAGCATCACATTAATCCATAAAAAGAGTATTTCAAGATCCATCCTGAAGTACAACGCTGTCAGTGATAAGATAATATCCCAACTCCTATAAGGATGACTAGTTAATACTACTGTGGTGGTTATGTTTGTGTGTCAACTTGGCTAGGACTGGTTGAGTGGCTGGGCAGCTGAATGTAGTATTCCCTATGATACAACTGGTAATCAACTCCATGGTGGAATCTACTGTGAGCAGCTGAGTAGCTGCCTTTGGGTATATGGTCTTATATATGGGAAATATATAAGAAACAGCTATGGGAATAGTATCTAGCTTATAGCACACTTGAACCCTGCATGTAGCTGTGCCATTGTTCAGCAGCCTTCCATGCTCTGCTGACCTTGGGACTTCTAATGGACTTGAATTAATGGCCTTCCGTGTGGTTTGGTAACATTGGGACTGTGCCTTTTTACTTGTCAACCTTGGGCTTGTCAGTCTCAGCAGCCAGCAGCTGTCTGAGTGAAGAAAAGCCTCTAGCTTCAGTGGGATGGAAATAGGAGGCAGAGCTGAAGCTCAGGGTTGAGAGGCTTTTATCTAGCCCCTAGAGCCTGGCACTTTGAACTTGGACTTAAAGCCTCCAAACTGTAAGAGAATAAACTC